CTTACTTCAGAAATACCAACTGATATGGAAATAGTTCAAGCAATCACAGAAATCCTGTTGCCCACAGAGTGGAATAAGGCATTAGTTGTACACTGAACAACCCTATCACAATGAAACTGAAGTGAAATTGCAAAGAACGGTACCCAGAAAAAACTAAAAGAGATTCTGTTAGAAAAGTTTATTTCCCATTTCAGGTTTTTACTTAGGATACCCCTTTAAGGTTTTATTGACTTCCTTCTTAAAACAGTCACAAAATTCTGAGATGCTACTACTGCTCAACAGCTGTGACAAGTCAGACCATTAGTGTCTCACTCTCCTGTTGATTTCTGTCTACAGGAGTAACTGCTCATCCAAAGGTATGCAGGATGCTTTACAGAACAGAGCAGAGCTTATAGGCTCACAGCTTCCAGCAGGCAGTAAAAGAAAGAAAATAAGTAAGAGGATCAGGACAACTTCACAGAATAATTCCAAAAAGTCTTCTGTTTAAACATATCTAATTTCTTGGGGATGCTATGGAACAGGCAAGCTTTAAAACGGTGTACTTTACACAAGAGTTTCTGGGTTTGTCAACTAATACTAAGGCGAGATGGTGAATTTTAGGGACAAGGAAAGAAACAGGAATGTCTAAAGACAAACCAGAACATGGCATCTGGTATTACTGACAGAAGTGAAAACAGAGGAAAAATAGCAATGAATCCAATGTAAAAGGAAAAGGCTTTTAACTGGTCTTTGAAAACAGCTTTAATTAAACTCGGCACAATGCGGGAAGCAGAGTCCGTGGAGCATTTTAAAAAAGGGACCTTAAAATTCTCATGGTGAAATGCTAGAAGATTTTTAAAAGCTGTAGTCTGGATGAAATGAAGTAACAAAAAGCAGAATAATTTCTCAAAATTAAAAGCAAAACAGCAGTATCAAAAAAGTGCAAAAAAGTGCAAGAATTACGGAAGCAAACTGTGATTAACACTTTCACTTCTAATATTAGGATCCAATCCAAGTGCATCATCTTATATCCGTTTCAATGGATTGAATGCCCCAGTGTCAGTGGAGATTTACTCGCAGTATCAAAGCTCTGGCATCCTGTACCCTGCTGTGCCTGTATATCAATGCAGATCTCAATTATGGAGCTGAATGCCATGAACTACCAGGGAATATAATTTTGTTTTACACATCATTAACTCTTATAATCCTATGAATTCAAGTTATTATCTTCTTTTTCACTTCCCTTCTGTTGCACTTACCTGTTTTAAATTCACACATGGAATGCAAGTCACATCTTGGTTCCCATCTCTAATGCTATGAATGCTTATTGGACCTAACAGACTGAATTCCAGTGTGGTAAGCACTGGAAAGACTTGCACCATAGATGTATTTTATGCATTTATCCAGATCCTTCTTCATCTTAGATCCATTCCTAAATTACTGACTCAAGCAAAACCAGAAGAACTAAATTAAATTACATTTTCCATCAGGACACGTGATGGTAGGATCAAAAATGTTCTATGCCAGAACTACTGCAATATGGGAGGTTTGCATGGCAAAACCCAAGTCATGCCTTCCCTAAAACTCACCTTCAGTACCAATCTAATGAAGACTCTCTCTGAAGTTACAACCATAAAGAAAACATGCAATTATGTGATTCACAGGGAAGATCTGGAGAGGGCAAGTATGTATTAGGTATATGAAGACTTACTTTCGAGACCTTACTACTTATGCTAAACTAAATTATGAGATAGATGGACTAGAAATGCTTTCCTAGATAACACATAACTGTGCTAGAGTCAGATTAAAAAAAAAAACACACAGAAGAACAAGGAAAAAATGACTTAATGCTTTCATAATTAATCTGTGAAACTCAACACAGCCAAGAAAAAAAAAAAAAAGGTGGGGTTTGTGCCGGTTATTTTGTTTTAGGAAGCATGGGTAAACCAAGTGACCACCCCCCCCCCAGGAAAGCCCCACATCTCCACCAAGAGGCATTACCCTTAATGTTGTCACAGTAGTAAAAGTGTTCATCGTTCAGAGAAGGGCACGCAGACACTAAGTCCTGCAGGCCTGCACCAGTTACAGTGAGACAGCCCGAGAGGTTGAGGTGCTCCAGGTGCGGCAGGCCTCCTCCCAGAGTCAATGCCCTGTTGACAGACAGAAGAGAGGGGTTAAGGAGCCCCACGGCACTAGACCGACAAGTACTCCACTATGTCCCACAGTCACAGACTGAACTGCTTCTCCTGACAAAAACACACCCCCCTAGTAAACCACATTGTTTCAAATCTGGCGGTTTCATACCCTACAAAGGGGTTCACCTCGTGAAGCTGCACAACAGACCCGGAAATTAAATCAGTTTCTACAGAAATTAACAATTCCTCCTAAGAGGCACATATGATCAATCACTGTATGAATGACTGCAGAGTATTTCAAAGAACTACCAAGACATTCTTCTCCAAAACACCACTGATTTAGGTGACTCTTCCAAGGTGATATATATTCCACAATGCACCCTGAGAACATGATGCTCCCAAGTTGGGTGCGTTACGCTTCAGAAAGTTTAACTGTTTTACTTTTTTAGTTAATATTATTTCAGAATCCAAACTTGAACTAGGAGTGACAGCAGAGCTTCTCTCTGCCAACACACCATCTTATTATTCAAGTGCAATCCCCTGCTTTAACTCTGAGCACAACAAAGTTTGGCTGCTGATGCAACAGCCTCGTGGATTTACCACACTCGAGCAACCACTCAGTGCTGGCCTGCTCGCCTCTCTGCGAGCTCACAGGACAGCCAGCCCCAGTTCAACCACAAACAAACTCGCTCACCTGAAAATAAACCCAGGACATAAAACTGAAAAATGCCTTCAGAGCATGACACTGCAACTCTCCTCTGTCAGCAGGCAGAAGCAGAACTGTTGACCACAAGAGCAGCTATCAGTTAACAACTTTTCTCTTAAATGAATTGGCAAGTGTTTCTATTAGGTTTCATTCTCTCTCCTCAGAGACTCAAACATTCTGGTGAGTCCAAGGAACGCTTGTTGCAGCACACTCAGGTCTTAAATACTGTCTCATTTCCAGAAAGCAACAATGAGAAACCAGCACAACTCAACCTTCCCTGTGACACAAGGACCAAATCTCCACCTTGGTCTTAGATCACTGAGCCATGAAAAAACAGGCCAGTAACATGCAAATTGCACATAACACAACCTAATCAGCACCTAACCTAACTCAGCAGCACCAGTCCACTCCAACACTTGAACAGCAGCAAGCTCAAACAAAGAGCACAGCTATCTGAAGCACACTCTGAGCAAGACTAACAATGGTGAGGGAACAATGACAGAAGAGCCACTACAGGAGACATCTGAATAACTGCTACTTCTGAACATCAAACGGGATGAAGTCTCCAGTGAGACAAGCCAGGTCCAGCAGGGCCTCACACTATTTCTCAGTTGACTACAACATACCATACAGGTAGGCAAAGTCTTCCCACTGCAAGAAGCTTTAATTAGCCCAAAGTACTGCAGCAGAACTGAGCAGGTGGCCACAAGTACCTTCAGCCTCATCCCATTTTCATTATGAAGTATTAACTACAGTTTTGACACAATACCAGATATCAACAGCAAATTTTATCACACAAGAAATTTTGTAACTCTGAAAGCCATCTCAGTGTTTAACTCAACTATTTTTCACCTCTTAAATTGTTATATGAAGTCATATTTAAAACAACACTCCGCACATACAAAATTATCATAGAATCGTTTAGGTTGGAAACAATCCTTAAGATCATCAAGTCCAACCCTAAACCTAACACTGCCAAGTCTACCACAGAACCATGTCACTAAGCACCATCACATCTACAGGTCTTTTAAAGACCTCCAGGGATGGTGAACTCAACCACTTCCCCAGGCAGCTGTTGCAGCGCTTGACAGCCCCTTTGGTGAAGAAATTTTCCGCAATATCCAATCTAAACCTCCCCTGGTGCAACCTGAAGTCACTTCCTCTCAATCCTATTGCTTGCTACTTGGGAGCAGAGACTGACACGCACAGTGCTACCATCTCCTTTCAGATAGTCAGAGAGCAGCCAGGTCTCCCCTGAGCCGCCTTCTCTCCAAGCTAAACAATCCCAATTCCTTCAGGGACTTTTAGCAAGACTCATTCTCTAGACCCTTCACCAGCTTCATTATGCTTCTTTGGACATGCTCCAGCACCTCAATGTCCTTCTTGTAGTGAGGTGCCCAAAACCAAACACAGTATTCCAGGTGTGGCCTCACCAGTGCCAATGCTCACGTCCCTAATTCTGCTGGGCATGCCATTTCTGATACAAGCCAGGCCAGCATGCTGTTGGCCTTCCTGGGCACCTGAGCACACTGCTGGCTCATGTCCAGCAATCAACCAACAACCCCAGGGGCTTTACTGTTGGGCAACCTTCCAGGCAGTCATCCCCAGGCCTGTTGTATTTCACGGGGTTGTGGCCCAAGTGCAGGACCCAGCACTTGACCTTGTTGAACCCCATACAACTGACCTCAGCCCATTGATCCAGCCTGTCCATAAGTTATGTCATTATCCAGACAGGTTAAATGAGATGCTACTCCAGTTTCATACGTTTTCATGCGTATTGACAGGCATAATGAAAAAATCAGTGCATCAACACAATTTCCTAACAAGAAATCACTAAAGATCTAAAAGCATTAATACTGCCTAGAACAACAAATTCACAAAAATACTTAAATTCAGAGGGCATGATATAGAAGACTTTATTTTTATCACCTGGAAAAAGTTCACAAGTCTGGTATTACAAATATGTTAAGATGCAAAGACCACTTATATAACTTAACAGAGATTCTTCACTAAAAATGTTTCTTCTGGAACTAGGCAGACTCACCCAACAAATCAGAAAAAACGTACTGCAGCAAAACAGCTCAAAAAAAGGTCTCCTCACCTGAGAGCACGGTCTGTGATCTGGTAACATCCAGACAGACTGAGAAACTGAAGAACTCGTGCAGCCTCTTCATCTGTTTTTTCACTCCCAGAGTATGATGAGTCTTTTTTCTCTGACTGCTTAGTCCTTGTTGGTTTTTTACACAGTGCAGAGGATTCTGGAAGTGCTCGAATAGTTCTTAGTGCTGTCCCAGCACAACAAAATGAGTGACCGCAGTAAATCAAGTCCGTAGAAGCACAGTGCTGCTGCCACCCTCTAGTCCTTAATCCATAAATGTCTCTATTGTAGCATGATGCAGAACAATTAATATGGGATGTTGGTTCCATAAGACAAAATCCTTCAACATTTCTGTGTCTCCACTCCGCAGCATCTTCAATGTCAGCTAAATCATCTGCATCTAGCATCCACACATAAGCAGAACTGAAGTTTTCTGAGCCATCAGATTTAGTCCAGTGTTGCTCACCATCTCCTCCCTCAATGAGGTTTTCATTATTGATTTCATGCAAGCAATTATACTTCTTGTTGGACTGCAGAGTAATCTCTCTGTTTTTCCACGAAGTCTTAGCGTTCCTGCTCCTGCAGCTTTTCAGAATACCTCTGGTGTGGTGAGTCGGTAGGACACCCAGTGCTCTGGAAATCCTCTCTATAGCCACGTCTGTGATTTTTTCACATCCTGACAGATCAAGGTGGCGTAGATGCTGGCAATAACCAACTGAAGACCAACTGAAATTGAGGGAAAAAATAAGTGGGTTGGTTGGTTGTGTAGGGTATTTTTAAATTTTTGTTCAGAAACAGGTGTTAAGACTAAATATACAAAACATTTCACAAGTAAAATGGTGATATCAATACACAGATTATTATAAAGGAAAGATGCTGAACAGGTTAGGTTTGATACTCCAAGTGCTGTATAAACACCTAGAAAAATTATGTGTAAAGAAATGTGAAATGAACCACGAATCAGTAACAACCTGTATCTTTTCCATATACTGAGACTTAAAAGTCCAAATTTGCCATACATCGAACAAATCCTTAAATTGTAAATCAGACTGCATCAGCAAATACATACATGGCAATTTCAAAAAGCAGCTTCTGTTGTGCATAACACATTTACCAAGAGCCATTTAAATTACCAGACATCAGTTAACTTCTCAGAAGGCTAAAAAAAACCCCTTACTGAACCAGCAAACTTCACACAAACAACCCACTCTACCCCCCCAAAAAAAAAACCTACAACTGAGATGTAATATTCAAAATATTTTCGTAGTTGTAATTTCTAGTATTTGAGTTTCTCAAGTTTAGCTGTTTACACATATTGAAATAGCAGTTACTTAGATCATAAATCCTTCTGATATTTCCCATTTCTTTCAGAGAGATTTGCTGGATTCCTGAAACATTGTGTACAGTAATAATTATTTCATAAAACTGATCAGGATTAGAGATGTTAATGAAATCAGACTTTATCATATTAACAAAGCCTCACCCCCTCAGGCTTATATTTTTCAAATTAATCATATAGAAATATGAGCTGCAGTACTATTACTTATGTCATTACCTATAAAAGTATACAGCCGATTTAAGTGTCCCTTACCTATCCATAATTAATGTTAATTATCAGTTAGTTTCCATAAGTGATTACTTATATTTACAGCAAGCCAAGCTCATTTTCCAAGTTACAAATTCAGGTGCTGGAATCACACATGTATGAGGAGCAGCAAATACTGTAAGTTTCCATAGAGACTGACAAAAGCTCACAAAGACTGTTGTTAGATGTGTCTCAAAAATCAATCTCACAGCAATGAAATTTCTGCAGGTTTCAGTAAAACTCAAGAATCCAGAGTTAGGCAAAGCTCTAAGGCTTAAGCGTGGTACCATTTGATCAGTGTCTTTGACAACAGTATTCCAAACCCTGCCAGCTGTACTGGTCCAGGAGAGCTACCATAAGTGAGTGATTCTGTAAAATCTATGGACAATTTCAACTTGTTAATGCTAGAACAAAACAATTATTATGTATAGCTACAAACTGATAGGTAACACATATCCAGTCATGAAGACAGAGCATTTTCCATGGCCATTACAAAGTTACATGCTTCACTTGTTACATCATCAATTTGTTGCTCTGGTTTACTTCGTAGTTATGTGTGAATCCTGAAAGTGATCTCTCCATTTCTCTTTGTTAGCAATGGATTAAGATGTGCATGAATGTTTTTCCCCCTCAAAAAGCTGGAGATTTTTTTTTTTTTTTAAAGGAAATAATTATCTAACCTTTCAAATGCAGAATCTGAAATATCAGTTTGAGTGAGATCCAAATATTCCAAGTTAGGGCAAAGCTCCAAGATCTGTCTAACCTGGAAAAGGAAAATAATCAGTAAAGACACAAGCCAGTAAGGCTGCACACAGTGAGGAGAGGCAGACAAATTAACATTCTCCAGAACTGCAACTCATTTTCACTACTCGAGCGTTTCATACTCGGGCACATCAGTTATTAATTGGAGGCTGCATCACCACGCTTATTAAATGCCAGTTTTGAACTACAAACCATTTTGCTAGACACTGCAGAACTGTAGGCCAGTACTAATGTCTTCACTGAGGAGCCTACGTGCGGGAGGACATTATGAATTAAGCCATGAAGTAAACGTTTTTCCATTTGTGCTATGTTGATGGCAAGTGAATCTTCAGCTGCTTCTTCTGCAAAACAAAACCAAAGAGAAAAACTTAAAATATGCTTTGAGTAATTTAGCATTCACATTGCCATCTTACATCAAACAAGTTATGGGGACACTAAAGAAAGATCACAAGGCCCAAGTTTCAGAAAGTACTTTACACTAGGTAAGGTACTGATGAATTCTAGTTCAACATACTCCTTAAGTCTCATCTTTAAAAATTATCTGGTAGTTTTTCTGGCAGTCCTCAGGAGGTTAACTGCAATGGTAAGTAAAAACAGTTAAGAGTTTTAACAGAAAATCATCATTAAAGGACTTGGTGACATATTCACTACAGATTATGTACTACTCAGGGCTGCCTGGGGCAGCTGTTTCCACCAACTTGCTTCATACACTGGAATACTATCTCACAGGGCATTCATATCCTGTGACTTAACAGCATAAGACAAACTTTATACTGAGCCTAGGGCACATTAGGACTCATTAGGATTCATCCAAACTTCCTGAAGAGATGAAGCCTAGCTTCTATCTCCTTCCTAACTCCAGACACATCCCCGTAACTCTTCTACCTGCACTTATGTCTGCTCTCTCCTAGATCTTTTAATTCAGCTCATTAAAGCCAGCTGCCTGCTTCTCCCCCCTGCCTCTCACCCCCCACATTCCCCTTTTTGATAACCAGCTAGGAGTCAGGATGAGATAAGGAGGAGGAGGAATAAGAGCAGTCCTATCAGGAACCTTGCTAAGTAAAGTTTCCCAACTACTTTTTTACTGTATGTCTACTTGGCTTAGGAAGCATTTAATCTAGACAGAATGCAAATAGTATCGCATTTGTCCTTATTTTAGTGCGCTGGTATCTACTATGTTAAAATCTGTCTTTTAAAGAGATTTTCCAGAAAAGGTTCCATTTTATGCATTTATTTCATAGAGCTATGTAATCTTCAGAGAACACCAAAAATCAGAATTTACCTACCAGATTCATCTATGTCAGCATCTTCATCCCATTCCTGGAAAGCACGACTTTCATCTTGTCTGTTTTTCACCCATTCCTCATCAGGTTCCATCTCAAGATCTGCTGCAGGACCACTATACCAATCACCTAGTCACCCACCACCACCAATAAAAACAAATGAAAGGAAGAAAGGGAAAAAAAAGTTAAGACAAACTTCTCATCACTGCAGAGAACAGAATGGTATATTCTCAGTATACTATAACCTGGCCTAAATATGTAGATGAATTTTGCATTTAATCTCAGCTAAAGTTGGATTAAGCCTCAACACAATTCTTGTTTGATCTATATTTTAAAGCTTCAAAACATTCCTGAAAGTTTCAGTACCATTACAGAACTCACAGGCTATTAAACTATTCCAAGATACACCTGTTGTCCTTATTTTCTTAGTAGGGACCAATATGATTGCAAAACTAACAGAAACAATCATGGAATATTTGGGCTGTATAGGTTCTTAAGTTCTTTCTAGTAGCTAAATTAACTACCAACTTTTAGTATAATACATTTCCTTTTTTCTCAGGAATCTCCCAAATACACAGTCAACCAGGATGTATTTTATTAGCAGCATTTATAATTCAAACCCCCTTAGATTCTTAAATCATAATTAAGATGTCGTATTAGTGAAAATACTTGTTAGCATTCATACAAGCAAAGCTCAGTAGAACTAATGAACAGTTGGTATAAAAGAGCTGCTCATGAATTACAACCAAGTCAACTCTGAGTTTCTTAATTCCACAAGATAGAAGTGTGTTCGGGGGATTTTTAATATTAAGCTAAGTTTCAGGGCACTGTCCTTGCCAGAAAGGTACACCCTTCCAACACACTCAGCTGTCAGTCAGGTTCACTGTACATAACAGCCTATACTAGAACATTCCACAGCGCTAGAAATTCAGACAACTGACATGCTTTCAAAGGAAGAATTAAATTTTACTTACCTCTGGCCCAACGAACAGGGTAAAGATGTTTCCAGAGAGATCCAGTTTTAGCCAACTGTGACCATTCAGTGCTTACTTGACTACACTGACATAACTCTTGAGGGTTAAGGTAACTGAAAATGGTCAGCATTACTTCAGGAGGAAGATTAACAATATTTGTGGTGTGCCCTGTTACTTCAGTTTCTGAAATATAGAAAGTGTGTGTTAAGTGAAGCACAGCCTTGCAGCTTTAAACAATAGTAGTGGAACTCACATTTTGACTACGGTAATGAAAAAAATGAAAAAACATTTTTACATTGTCTGGCAAGAGTTGAAAAAAAAAAAAAAAGCAGCTATCACTTGAGCTTTAAAAAGCTTTTGCTGTAATAACACCTTAAACAAAACAAACAAAAAATATCAGCTCAGTTTTCTGTTTGCCATTTTCTCAGCTGTCTGGTTTTTTTCCAGCCCTGACCCCTCAAGGGTCTAAAAAAGCCCTGGACAACAGTAAACTGCTTCCTCTCAACCACAGCAAGATGAAAGCAGTATCTGCAATCAATGAAATGCCTTCTGTTGTAGAAGATACGTCTACCTGCTTCATCACATTCCCAGGAACAGTACTAGTACACAGAATCTGCCAGCTGGGACCACTCTCACTGAAAGCACTCAGCCTCTTGACCGAGACACAGCCAGAAGTCCACGCTCAACTCCTTGCAGCTGTCTCATGTTTTATTTGTAGCTGCAACTGCTAGTATAGAGAATTAATTTTAACTTTTGAATGGTGGCAAGCCATTCAGGTTGTAAAGTAATACTAAATACTAGGTTACAGACTGAAGCTTGACCACTGTAATTAATACTTCAATGGACAGCAGTAGGAACTACCTCCAATAGCTCTCCCTTATGGCCGTAGTACAAAGAGAACTACAAACTACACAAAATAACAAATTCAATGCTTTCGTTAGTGGAGATTTTGCTGTTTTAAGAGCATTTTTCATGTTTTGTATAATAACAACTTACTTGAGAAAAAACATTTCTAGAGTAGTTTTCAAGAACCCTTAAAATTAGCAGGTTTCACAAACTAGTAGGGATTTTAAAGTTAGGAGACAAAGTATGTAAGAAGCACAAGGAGACAAGCAGGTTTCTTTTAGCAAAGAATCTTCAAAAATAAGCATAACAAACTTTGCCCTGTGATAAACTGTTGCTACTTCAAAAAAATACAATTAAATACAGTTTCACTTAATGAATAAATACATTCATACAGCTGGCAAGTTGCTGCAGGTAAACTACAGAGAATGTCACATTAAAATGCAGCTAAAGCTACACAGGACTGCAAGCTGTTTTCTTCCATTTTTTAAAGATAGATGCAAGACACATACTTCCTTCTCCCTAAAGTCTATAATACAACCATCACAGAATTATTACTGTCCCAAAACTGCTATTCCAGCTAGACTTAACAGCAAGTAATGCCATAAGGCCACTTCTGCCACAGTCATCTGTTCAGACCCAACAGTATTTCACACCACGGACCATGATCTTTTCTGAAGGCTTCACCTGGAGGGCAGAAAATGACCAGTTCAGTAGTTCAGAGAAATCAAGATTCAACAAAAAAAATCTGATTATAGAGCAGTTTTTCTAATGAGAGCATCACATACTATCAACCCTACAGAGTCAGTTCATGAGAGTTTGCTCTACTTACCAGTCTCACACCCCAATATTACACTTTTGGTACATTATTCTCCCTTTTTTTGGGGCATCGACTCTTCATTTAAGAGTCAAACAGTAACCACGGACAATTTAGGCTGCTTCAACAGTCAGTCTGAAGTGCACTTTAGTATTATCCATTTATTCCAAGTCTCATAAGGAAAGACAGTAACAGATGAATGCAAATGAACTATGCACTTTCAGAACACACATTTCATCTGACCTGCTCACACACTGCACGGATTCATGGCCCTGCATCACTCCACACACAGTTTCTTCCCTTCTGATTCCTGAGAGGTGCAGGGAAGTTAGGTAGTGGGGATGGGGAAGGCGAGTTGCTTTTAATTTGAAATACTATCAGAGGACTTGCTAATCTGTGTTATTAAACCATCAACAGAAAAGCATACAAAGCTGTCCTGAAAACCTAGTATTAAACGCAGGGTCTGAAAATACAAAATCTAACTTTACCAGTAGTATGAAATTAGAAGTTAATTATGATTGCTGCCTGTTTATTATATCAAATATTACCATGGGAGGGAAGGGAAAGAAAGTTGAAAACATGTCAACAGTGAAGTACTACCTACATTCCAACCTGCCAGAAAGCCTGTACGGAACAGTAAAGTTCCTGAAGTTTAAAAACTGATTTGAAGAAATTCCCATTTCATAAAAACTATTTTATCTGTCAGTACATAACTTCAGGTATGTCACCACTGTGGCTTTTTACATGAAGATTATAGTCTGAAAATTACTTTAATTTGAATTAGAAGCTTCACCTTGATCTGCCTTCTCGTCCACAGAATACTTAAAGACCTTCTGAAGCTCTTCTGCTTGATTCCACTTACTAAGACCTCTGAATTCTGCTGCCTCTTCCTTCTGTGAGCAGTGCTGTGCAATTACCTTCTTCTTAATATCTTTCAGCTCTTCATAAGTAAAGTATTCCATCAACATTGGCTGGAAAACCTAAAGCAAAGAGAAAAAAAAAAAAAAAAAAAAAAAAAAAAAAGAAAAAAAAAGAGTCTGGGAGTCTGGTGCTAGCCAAGACAGTTGATAATGAATGCTACACAGACCTACCCGCACAGAACTTCCCCGTTTCAGATTCTCTCCAAGTAAAACGTGTCAAACATTGAAGTGAACCTAAGGACAGCACTATGGAAGTTTTGAGTTCCAACCCTCTGCTTGGCAATGGATCACTGCAGTCTCAGGCAAACCCTTTTAACTGTTTTCCCCAACAGAAAAAAAGTGAAGTGACTAAAGTTGCTTAAAACATGTAGCTTATGGAGGTACTCACACAGAAGGCAAAGTGGCAAGGAAGGAAAACATGAGAGAGGATTTCTTCTGGGTAGAGTTCGGAAGATATACCCTCTCCAGAAGATGCTTCCCCGTTTTTGGATACCCATAAATCATCAGACTGGCAGTACTAGTCTGTTTCTCAAATATAGGTCAGAGGCTTTTTGGGAGTGTCAGTTTGAGTCACGAAGTACTACTTTACAGGGCTTCTCTTTTCCTTTTAAGTTTTGCAAGGCATCCCCTTAAATACCTGCTGCAAACAAACCCCAGCCCCAGTGGACTTTTGATGTCAGTTTTTTAGAGGACCAGAGTTTCACCATAAAGTTTCAATATATTCACTGTTTTAGAATATGTCACTTTGTAGTCAAAGAACAGAACAATGACATCACACTTAAGAATGCAAACTAGCATAGTAATAAAAACAGATGCCTGAAAAAAACTGAACCTCTAAGCCCTTTTTATCTCTATTCGGTCATTCCAAACCCCACAAAAGATCAGCACGCTATTTAAGGATAATTTTTACCTACCTCCTCTTCCTCTTTCATATGAGGAAGGAAATCCCTGGTAAACGCTTCCAATCTCTCCTTCAGCTGTTTCGCATAGTTTAGCTGTTCATATTCATTCTGAGAAGAAGAAAAGATTTAACTATTATCTAAATCTTGTCCACTCTTTCTAGGGTTGAGCTGTTAAACTAGTGTATTAAAGCAAAGCCCATCATGCCTCCTCCATGCATGCAGCATATTTGCTTTAATTCACGGTAAGAATGTGCTCACTTGAAAGTTTCATGACAAGCTGACAGTCCATACTGGTCTGTTACTAGGCAGAACAAAGTATTCCTTTCCTGTCCAATTCCAGTTTATTTTTTTACCAGATATGAATTAACTTGTCTAATCACATTTTTACTTTGGAGCAAAGACTGAAGTCTGCCAATCTATAGTCTCACCCAAAGTTCAGAGTAGTAACAGGTATGTATATTTGCATGTTTTCCATAAGAATTATTCTAGGATACAGCGGTTCCACTTCATCTTTTAACTGCATACATTTTAGCTATATTCTACAGTTCTAGTAGAATCAGAATTCATAGTCACACATGCTCTACAGATACTTTGGAAACAAAGAATTCTTAAATGAAGATGTAACTAACTTTTGTATATTAAAGTTAGACCAATCTCTTCCACCCATTTGCTAGCTTGTTCTCTATGTCCGTAATATGAGGCTGCTTCTGAGTTTACCCAGTAATTGCAACATACTGAAGTTCCCCATAGCTCTTACAGTAAATGTTTGAAGAGAAAAACTTCTACAACATCAAGAAACACTACTACACAAAAAGCTTAAGCCTTCACTTTAAACCAACCACCCTCTCAAAGAAAGTTAAACAGTTAATGTGTCTAAAGAGAGCTAAAGCAATATGTTTTTCCACACTTAAGAAGTAACAGAATAACACTAACATCCTATCAGAGAAGGCATTAGACAAAGCCAAGCGTTCATTTCTCCCTCTCCTCCATTTTCCATTCCATTAGTGGAAACAACACAAATTTTAAGGTTCGATATGTACAGGGGAAGAAAAAATTATTTGCAGGATTCCCAGGTCAAAAGCAGCCTTGAACAGTAACACGGGATCAATCAACTGCATAATTAGTATTTTTCTTAAAGAAAATATGGAGCACATGCACTAGAAATGCAGTCCAATTATTACTGGAGACTATACAGTTCTTAAAGTGAAGAAAGGGGGAGCTGAGTTTGCCACCTCACAGGAAAGACACAGCAGAATTTAAGTAGAATTCTACTGAAGAAGAATTTAACAACTTTTAAGTTGTGAAAAAGCCAGCTGGAAAAATAACATTTAGAGTTTCTTGAGGACTGGAACATTAACAGCATTACTGAGCAACCAATTACTGGCAGGAGTACATGACTCATTGACAGAATAAAACAATGCCTTTTCTTCAGCTCAGTAATCATCTCCATTTGTAAAAATAACACAACGGTATGTTCCACAAAAAAAAAAAAAAAAAGGTACTCTAGGTTTCCTAACAAATTAATTAAAACCATTATTTCTATACTCAGAAACTGTTTTGCACAATTAGCAGAGCAGTCTTTGTATTTGAAACTTCCATGTTGTCTCTCCAAAACTCCTTCAGTGATGGGCTTCTGTCATAAAAATACACCTCTGAAAAGAATTTTACTAGTAACAGTGAATGGCAAAAAAAAAAAATGTGTGTTTCAGACTGGAAAGTTTTCACTACTGTATTATGAAATCACAAATGTTTCTCCTTCCTCCTCAGTTTATTTGTGGAGAATATTAAGACAAGCTGAGAAAAATTAATACATAATCAGAGCATGGGTTTTTTGGGGGGACAAGTCCTTGTTATAGCCTACTTACCTTTACATTCTTCAATCCTTTCTCAAAGAGGCTAAGCATCTCGGAGAGCTTGTTATCCGAGTGCACGTTGTACACTGTCCGGCTGCGCTGCTGCAGTAAGCCAATGATACACTCGTTTTCAATCTGCTCGTGCATTTTAAACTCCTTGAATGTGGCATAAAGAGACTGCAGAAGGGCCCGAAAATCATTGTTGTTGGAGAAGTTGGTCTTGGAAAGCTAGAAGAAAGAAAAGGTCACAAAAATTAAAATTACGTCAAGGTCAAGTTAGACCCTTAAGACAGGTATTAGGATCCTGTTATTCATTGCTCCCATGGCTTACAACATACAAGCTGAAAATCCTGAGTTTTATAAAGAAAACTGGCAAAAACAACAACTGAATTTGCAATCTGAGCTACTCTAAAGACATCAAAAATTAGAGCAATGAATGCTTTTAATTCCAAACCTCAAGCACAACAGATAAAACTCATAGATCCAAGTGCACAGATAGGAATGCATAAACTAGTCCTCTATTTGAATAGCAGCTCTCCCACAAGTTATCCAACCAGTGCATTAAAATATAATTTAATACACCTTCTTCCAAAAGTGAGCAGAATATTGGCATTTGAATACTAGAGATCAGTGTTTATAGAATATCCCTATTAATATTACTCTTGAAATTATTTGCAGAATTCATAATTTTAACCTTTGCAACTGACCTGTGATTTGAATTTTATTTATTAACAGTAACTGACACATTCTACATAAGAACAAATATGTTTTAAAACTTTCAAAAATTCATTATGCATGGTCGTTCTATGTATAAATTTTCTCTTACAGTTCATTAAAATAGTAAGCTATTCACACTCAAATTCTGCTAACTCCACAAAATAAGTTAACAGTTTCACACCAACACTGTGCTTTGTGAATGGGGTTCAAGTAAACTAAGGGATGTAATTTCACAATTCTGATTTCCAGGGGCAACTATAGAACTGCATTTCCCAGCACAGACTCTGAACTATACGTTTTAGAAATATTACAAGGAACTAATGGTAATTACAGAAGTTTAACGATTACAGGAGTTTAACAGAACATACTATATGCAATAATGCACATTGTGAAGAAATGCATGTTACATTTAATCAGAAAAATTCTGATGGTAACTGTCTCCTTCCACATGAATGAAAAGAACTTAAGAGAACAGGAAAGTAGCAGGGTAACTTTTTAAGGAAGATCATCCTTGAGATAACAGTTATGCCAGTAGCTTTAAGAAGACAGTACAATCAAAGCTGTATTTAAGCAACATAAACCGATCTTGTGAAACACCGAGATAAACAACTGTAGAAAGAGCTCCCGGCAGAAATCACGGCGATCACCCCCCGCCCCCGGCAGGTTACCGAAAGGCTGTGCCACGCTCCCAGATCTGCCAGTCTAGTTTGTGCTAAGGAGCCCCTGAGCCTACCCTTTAGGGATGGACTATCCACAAGGAATGCCAAGTCCTGCCAAGTGAATATGAACTATACTCGCTGCTGGAGAAGGTTTCAAATGGACCAAGAACAAATAAATCAAGACAGAACAAAGTTCTCAGTAACGTGGTAGTGCCATTTTCACGTGCATGCAAACAGTCACCATTAGCAACAGTATTTTTTTAAAACTGCATTTTCCTTCGGTCAATGTAGAAAAACATTTTTTCCATTCTTATGCTTTATTCTACATACAGCTTCAAGAATCATAACCTATAGCAGAATACAAGGATTCTAACAAAATTTTTTAACTTAATTCAGAAAAGAAGCCGATGGAATATTCAGAAGTCTTTTAGTTTACAAAGGCTCTGGAATCTAGAGGTTTTTACAGAAATGGGAATCTGAGACATACATATTCACACAATACTTGCATATACCAAAAACAAGCATAAACTGCGGTACCTAAAGCTTTTACCGTTTAAACAAAAAACCAAAATGTACTTATTCATTCTGACAGTGCATTGCCACTTCCTGGCAAGCAATAGCAATGCAACCAAAACACACTGGCTATCTGCCAAGTACTTATGCAACTCCAAGTCAGCTGTGCATGCTGTACATTACATGCTGTACATATGAGCAAAATGACTGTTGTTATGGAAAAATAAATTTAATTAGCCTCAGCAGACAAAAAATAGCATAAAGTTAAGGTCTGGGGTTTTTCCCACCCGCCCAAATATCTTTTAGACTAACTATAGAGAGGGCAGAAAAAACACGTATGTTTGTGATGCAGTGTGTTGGGATTTGAGACACACTGTTATATGTATTTCACAAACAGGTGAAGATCTTGGACTGTTTCTGTCCCATACTAAGCTCAAAGAACACAATGTACAGAGTAGGGGCAGCACATGAAGCAAGGCCACGCTTTCCACATCGAAAAGCCGAAGTCCGAGCAAGCCCAGGAGATAGGTGCAAAAACACCTCTCCAGTGTAAACTACTCATCCTCCAGCCAGTCTTGATTCAGACCTCAATAATGATGAAGTCTGGTTTCTAAATCTAGTATTTCTCTTGATCAAGGACTATCTCAAAATTGTTAATTCTACCCATAAGTATCTACAATATCTGAAGTCAATACCCAAAGACTCTTTTCATCAAGAATCCCATTTGCTTCGAAATTCCTCACATTTTGATTGACAAAAATGTAAACAAGGCTGCTGAAGTGTGTAACATGAGGGTTAGATACAACTATTGTCTTTTGCTCTTGGGTTGAAAAAAAAAAAAATCACAAAATTGGTTCTGACACAAAATAGCATCTTCTCACTCTCCTGACTCAAAACCATTTCAGGACTCAAACTTCTGTTCAATTTACCTATTATCATCCACAAATATGGATTTAATGAAGAATCCATTTATGCATGCTATTTAAGAATTCCTGTTATACAGGTATTGTTACTGAAGCCACTATAAACATGAAACACTTACATATTCACCTCTACTACTGAGGCTTCCAGCAGGTATCCAAGAGATTAGGAACTATGGAGAAGATATTGAAGTTTAATGACTGTACTTGAATCAGCAAACAGTACATTAAAAAGGTCAGCCAAAGCCGAGGAGAACAGCCTTTGCAGAGGACAGGTAGCCTAGCAACAAAGTCACTCGGTCAGATCTGTAATTTCATTACGAGGACTGATGAAGTCTTATGACTGGGGACCAAGACCATTAACAGATAACAGCTGCTCTACTCCAAGGTCCACTTTTCACCAGCTCTACACAAGGAAAACGAGTGCAGGAGTTTAGTAGTGCAAAAAGAAAATCATCACCCCCCAAACTCAGATGGAGAATCCCAAGAGAATGGCAAGGAAGGAAATGGATTGCCTTAAGGATATTTGTATATAGCACAGTGTGTACGAGGCCCTCGAGCAGTCTTACAGCACACCACACTAAAGCCATTATCACAGCCACAGGTGTCACAGATACCTGGGAGCCTTCCGGACTTCTGAAGACATCACATAACTGTACAGAACAACTGTTATTGTGTTTGGAATGCAAACTAATTCCAGAGCAGTACCAAAAGAGAAACAGTCCTAGTGCCTCCTGAAATTTAAGAATTATACGTAATCCAAATAGCCTGAGCATCAGGTCAAACAACACAGTCAATCACACTGCAAATTCTGTCTGAAACACTTCAGAGACCTTTGACTGATGCAGGCATAATGCAGCAGTAGCTAGGAGCTGTTAAATTCAGTATTAACTTTATTTCTTAAACACTTATTAAAATAAAAAACAAAACCTGCGACAAACAAAAAACCACAAACCCAAACACATCAACTTTATTTCATGTAAACAAGGGAAGACCCATCATAATCCAAAGGCCACAGTGGTGCCAGCAGTGAAGCATGAAGTCGTTAAGGTACCAAATCTATTCCAAGTCACAGCATGACATGGAAATAGTTATGCTAAGCTGAGAACGCTGTACTGCTCTGAAGTTCTTCGTACATAACTGGTCAATTTAGAGAGTCTGCAGTATACAGTACTTAAAATCAAGACAAAAATCAGAAATACTGATTTTTCATCACAGTTGAAAACCATGTGTAAAGTAGTATTAGGATTATTAAGAAGTAGATCTTGGAAGTTTTCTGCCATTGATTCAAGATCAGGTAACTCCCTTCTTTGTAGCAAAACACAGTAATGCTGAATTAAGACATCTTTTAATGAACATCTTTGGTAAACCCAAATTACATAATTAAAGAATAGCCATGCTTTAAAAAAAAAAACGTTGTAGCTCAATCATATACCTGCTTTAGGTGTGCCCAACTCTACTGGACTACAACAGAGCCATTAACACAGTCAAGATTAATGTACAGGGATGTAGAAGACAAACACCCTTCCTTACAGTAAGCTATTATCTGGTTTTTGTGCTTCAAGAACAAGATGACAATACCAGCAAGATTAATAGTAATTGCTGTCTATACAGTGCTTTGTGTTCACGAC